TTTCAATATTCAAATTTGTTTTCTGTTACTATAACTTTATTGACTTTGCTGAGTTCAAATATTTAAAAAAAAAAATTACTAGAGTAGTTAGTAAAATGCTAGTATAGGAAACCTCAACTATTTACGTGATTTTATTAGTCCATCTTATTCTAATTACTTTTGGAGCGTTTTTTTCAAATTTATCCGCCACCCTTCTTTGTGTTTTACGGATACGTAATGGCAATGCCACATTTTCTGACACATTTGGTAATATCATTGGCAGAGGCGGCCTGCCCCCCCCCCCCCCCCCTCTCCTGGGCCTCGCTAATGCAGGGGCCTCACGCATGCAGGGGCTTCGCGCACTCGCGACCCCAGTAGAAAAATATGTTTATTTGAATTTCGCGCTTTACGCATCGCATTCTAAAACTCACGTCACTCTTCTCGCGCTCTTTTGCGTGGTACTTAAATATTAAGGTGTTTACGATTTAAGTTCAGGGATTCCTTAATTAGGTTAATTAGGGAGTGTTTAATTTCGCCTGTAACATTGTAGAAACTGTCGTCGGTTTATGCTTTTATGTGCGAGCAGCAGTATGTGTTGCGATGCAATTTTTTTGTTTAACGTATAAGTAATCATTAAAACTAATTCCCGGGGCCCGGGGCCTCGCAATGGCTAAGGCCGTTACTGATCATTGGCTTGTCAGTGCTTAGAGTTGCCATAAAGTTGCTAAAACGGCCCATTTACTTTTTTTTCGGATAAAATCGATATGAATTTGAAAAAAAAATAAGGTAAGCGAATATTTAACGTGCTATGTATTTGCTTTTTGGAGGCCCCTTGACGATGGAGGCCCTGGGCACGGGCCCCATGTGCCCTTATGGTAAAGACGGCACTGAAGAAAGGGACTGTTAAGATTCCTAAGCTCTTGAAATGGTTCCTGCAAGAGTCACGTTGTGAGATCTGAACCATTATCCTAATAGCACGTTTCTGCAGAACAAACGCCCTGTGTACATTATACTCGTAACTATTTCCCCAACACATTATGCTATACCTAATCTTGGACTCCACCAACGCATAGTAGACGGCTTTAAGTTGCTTGATACCTGTGATATCCCTTAAGCTCCTCAACGCATAACACGCGGAAGAGATACACGAATCCAATTATGCCAATTCCGGTTTCCAGTTAAGTTGCGAATCTAAGTTGACACCTAAAAATTTTGTAGTGCCGACTAATGAGATATGGTTGTCATGTAATTTGATTTCCAATTCATCTCTATTTCTAGATGTTGTTTTAAAAAGTATTATATTTGTTTTATTACTATTAATCAACAAGTACACAGTACATAGCATACATAGAAACACTCAGACCAAATCAAACATGAAATGTTCATGCACACAAATATTTGACTTGAGCGGGATATATACAACTACATATATCTCTCTTGCAATAAAGTGGCATTTAAGAATAAGAATAAATTTATTTCAAAAAGGTATGTGATACAATAAGTTTTACAGCGGCCACAGCACTAAGCTCGAGGCTTGTATTGCAGAGGCCAAAGATACATTTGTCATACAGTTTCACACTTCAGTTTCGGCTCAGCAGGTACAATAGATACTATATCATTATATTAAGTAGAATATAGTAACATATTTATTCCAAGACAAGATCGAAAGTGTTAAGGATTTTAATGTTTAACGCATATATATTTATATATATATATAGATATATTTTACTAGTGCAAGTTTTATTATGCCTGTAAAAGACAACAATTTGTTCATTCTTATTCTTTTATTCTCAAAATATTTTTTTGGCTCTACCATGCTCTACCACAGCTCTACATAAAATCCTTTGACAGCTTGTCTTTCAAATACATGACATTGGCGAAATTGTGGTTACACTACCAGAGAGCCATTAATCAAAACAGGTTTAATCAAAGTCAATCACAGGTGATAAATCATATGGTATTAATAATATCATCACTCCTGTGACTGATTTACAAAACCACTGCTACTTAATTATTATTATTATTACACTAGCGTAAGACTCGCGAATGGTCTAACTCTAAAAATAAAAAAAAAGAAGGTCGTAATCTGTGATAAAAAGAATCTTGACTGATTTAAATGCCATTTATCTGTGTTTAAGCAAAATCACTTGTGAAATCGCTGTGACTAAAACCAATTATTTTATAAAATAAATATGATTTCAATGTAGCAATAATTTTCATGTTTAGTCAAATAATAGTATTACTGTACTGTGATACAGACGAACGAACGAACGTCTGACGCGACAGGCGGCGGATGGACGCCGCCGATTATATTAGGGTAGGTTTAGAATTTACAATTCATTATATGTGTAGAAATAGATAATAAATTCAAAAAAAACGAATATACTTATTGCATATTATATATGCAGATTTACATAAGTGTAAGATGATTATTTCGTGCATCAGATACATTAAAAGTAACGTAAAAATATAACCTACGAAAGTTCTATAGCTAGAGGACTATAATAATTGTTTAGTATCTTTTTTTATTTAATTTAAATGACACATACAGTTATAATATAATTATCAAATAATTATGTAAAATAAAAAAAAAGATACTAAACAATTATTATAGTCCTCTAGACTATAATAATTGTTTAGTATCTTTTTTTATTTAATTTAAATGACACATACAGTTATAATATAATTATCAAATAATTATGTAAAATAATACAAAAACCAATTTGCAAAATCGATAGCCATAGATAAATTGTTAAAATAAGGAAACATTATGCAGCTACGTTATAAAATAGGTACTCTTTTATCTGTGGATTTTTTTAAAAAGAGTCCACAGATAAAAGAAATGTAGTGCGTAACTAAAAAATCAAATGCTAATATCTTTTTTCCCAGTCTTTGCCAAAAAAAATGTTTTATTCACAGATTCTAAGAAAAAAAGCCTAATTTTTAATATTTTTTTCACTACAAGACGATGCAATTTAATTTCAAATATTTTTTTGAATGGAGACCCGCCATTGTTCTTTCATACTTATAATTTTTTTAACAATGTGTACATGGGACTTAAGAATGCATATCTGTGGTTTACATCTATAAATTCATATAAATAAAATGATTAAACTCTTACAGAAAATTATTTTATCTTCATATAAGTATAAGATTTCATCAATACATCACATCAACAGCCTTTAATAGTCCACTGCTGGGCATAGGCCACACCTTAGAAAGGAGGTTTTGGCCTACTATACCACGCTGGCCAGACGGGTTGGTATACGGCTTGTGTCAAGTTTTCCTTCTCTCTGCAGTGCTGTTGATCTGCATAGTTTTCTCCCTTAGTCGGCTCTTACGACTAAAACTAAAACCAAACCAACGATAAAGAAAAACCAAAACCAAAATAATTGTAATCGATTATTGTATCAAAATAATCAAATGATAGATTTCATCTAATCAATTCATCTCATCCCTAGATTTGTGTACAATTTACATAATCTTGTAGGCGCGTAATCATAAATTTATCAATAATTTTGGTGTGCTGTCGCTCAGTGGTGATCTTCTCGTCTATTTAACACGTTTGGGCACAGGCGATCGAGACCAAGGGATTCTTATGCGGTTGGCTTGGACATAGCGTAGTCCTTCCATCGAATCTGGCATAAGGCACTTCTCTCGAAGCTGCCATTCAATGGGCTTCCCGGAAAATTATATGCAGATGATAGTACGGGAGACGTCTTTTATACCAGCGGCCCTAATATTTCTCTGGGAAACGTCATCAAGAGTCCAAAAACAATTGTGTCTGAAATTGAAACTTCCTTAGCTGAGATTTTAGATTGAGGTCGACTGAATAAAGTCCGTTTTAACCACAAAAGACACGGTTTGCTCCGAGGAATTGTTCGAATTAATATCGGCTGCATCTTTCCGCCATCGTTCCACATGGCAAAATATTAATCCCCATCACTTGGATAGTTGGCACTCCCCCACTGTGCGCTTTTCAAGACACTTTTGGCCTCGACAGCCTATCTGTGGAACAAGTTATCGTCAGCGGTATATCCGGGCCATTACAACCCTCAAGAAAAGAGCTTAATCCATCTTCAGAGTTGCAGGCGGTAGTCACTTTCCATCAGGTGACCCGTCTACTCAGCCGTTCGGCCCCTAAGTGAAATTGTAGAGGAAGTAAATAGTTTCGGTGAAAATCTTAAATTTAGTATCCTAAATACCACACACATACAGTGAAATTAGTCTCGAGAAATTTTTGCATATGTAGTGGTGTGTATATTACTCAGATCTTAGAGCGCGTTTCCACTATATCGTTCTGGCCTATACAAAAATGTTTTGATATCCTAACATTACTATTTAATTTTATACTTATCCCTAGCAACACTCTGATTTTTGTTTTCAATAAAAACAAGTTTTTATTTTAAAGAAAAAGGTTTTGACTTTATAAAAAAAAAGGTGTGTGTGCGATTCACACACGATAGAAGTGAAACTTCAAAGAGGAGGGACCGATATTTAAATTTTTTTTTTTCCTTTCATCTAGGTTTTTAAAACTCCGTGGGGCCTACGGGGGTGTCCAAATTTTTGTTATTTTTGGCCTAGGACGCACCGTTTCCGAGATATTTCAATCTAAAGCAAAAAATCGTCACTTGATAGTGGAAAGTGGAAACACGCACAAAACCAGAATAAACCAGTTTACGCTGTCCGTACCATACACTACTACAAACGCAAAAATTTCTCCAAGCTGATTTACCTGTAATTGATTTCTAGATAAATACCACATGATGCATAAAAAAGATTGGGTCGTCGCCGGGACGTCTAGCAGATGTAAAATTGAAATCGAATTATTTTGTAGAAATAATGAAAAATACTAATTAATAATAATTATTATTTATTAGCCGGTGCGACCCAAAAATTGAAGAAAATAACCTTTAATTACCAAACTAATTACTTTTATATATTATTAAATAAAAACCAAAGTAGACGACCATGAAATGTAAATTTTTAGGTTAAATAGAGATAAACCATTTTGGCATCATTTATATCAATGCATTATCAATTGGAGTTTCACCACTAAACGGATTATATTTGTCGAGATTTAACTTTAATGCCTTCATTGTCTCGTCCCATAATCGAGCAACTTGATAGCTATCTTGACATTGTGTCGATGAAGGTTTAACCTGGCAGTCACTGAAACAAATAAAATCGACTAAATGAGTTTTCTTTTTTTTAAAAAAAAAAAGACAACCGCATTAGAAATGTGTCTAAAGGGGGACTTTAAAAACACACATGAAACGGACACAAAGAACACCCAAACTCAGAAAAATAAATTTGTGGATCACAGAAAGTGTCGTCTCATGTGGGGATCGGACCCACAACACCTGCGTAGTAGTGAGCGGCGTGGCGACCGTTTAAACCACTACGCCACCCGTGCAGTCATTTGGTGAATAATGTATGCTCTCTTTCGTACCTCAAACCATGCATAGTGCTGTTCACCCGCACTTAAATTATATTTTCTCGGTCATGTGGCAGGTGAAAAATTTCATGAAATTGTTCTGGAAAACATTTTGTAATAGTCTGGTTAACATTTAGACCCGACTTGAATTGATCTGGCTTTTTTATTTTTTCACAGCTAAGTAGGCTTTATTAGTTTACGAGAAATAGTCGATCAATTAATTCGACGTAATGGGCCACCAAAACTGTTAATGCGAAATGTTTTTTTTTTTTTTTTTTTATAATATAATTACGGAACCCTACATTGGGCGTGGCACGCACTTGGCCGGTTTTTATTCTTAATTGATATGATATACGATATTTTCTAGAAATAAGTTCGAACATTCCTAAATACTCCAAGATGTTTAAAGTTTACCGACTAGTATCTACAAGTGGGAAAACTTAGTAAGTCAGGTTTATAGATTTTTAAACACTATTTTTCATTTAACGTAGAAGAATAAAAATAAAATAGAAGTACCAATAATAAAGCCCGCTTTCATTAGCACACCCTTCATCGACAGCGCAATAGATAGTGGTTTGTGCACCACAACGTGGTGACTTCATGAAAAAACCCATAACAACGTCGAATATAAATCTTGCCCCATATCCAACCGTCTCGTTGAAATGGCGACTAATGTCTGTGCGGATCACGCCCGGGTGTAGACTGTAAGTTGTCACATTGCTGATGTTGTTTTCCTGCAATTATTAAGATGGTTAAAGTTTATAGGTAATAGCATTATGTATAGTAAGTTAAAATTTAACCTATGATGTTGCCGAGAAAATTTTATCCTTTAACAGGAAAGGATTAGCTTGTCTTAAGGGGTTTAATCTGTGTTGCGTAGTGAAAAAAGGCTAATAACACAGTTTACATTACGAGGGCTGCTAATTATGTATCCGGAACTGGCCAATTACAGAACAATATTAAAAAAGTAATTATAACATTAAAAATGGAACTCTTTGGCTGAAGAATATAATTTGTTTCATGTAGCTGTCAATTGTTTATCCTGTGGCGTCTGTTTAGAAAATTGCGTGTCTTTATCACTACGGATTTAATTAGTGAAAATTTTCGTGCCATGTTTAATTACGATTTTCGGCGAGGGCTAACTCAAAAACAGTGCATCGTTTAACTGAATTCGACTTTTGGGGACGAAGTACCATCAAAAATAATTCTGTATCACTGGTTCAGTGAGTTTAAGAGGGTGGTCTGTGCCCACGGACGAATTTAAAGAAGGTCGCCCTAAGTCGGTTGTTACCTAATATATTGATGCTGTGCGGGAACTAATAATGCAAGATCGTCATCTTACATATCGCGAGATAGTGGTGTCTCTAGGAATAAGTATGACGAGTATTTGTAAAATATTACACGAACATTAAGCTGTAAAAAAAATTGTTCATGTTGGATTCCGCACAACTTTAGAAATGACCACAACTGGGCTCGTGTTGATTGGTGTAAAACAAAAGTACAATCAGAGTGCGTCAAAACCTGTCTATAATATCTACACAGGTGATGAATCTTGGATATATGCGTATGATCTTGAAACTAAACAACAATCAATGATTTCGGTGTTCCAAGATGAGCCGAACCCAACAAAAGTCATTCGTTCAAAAAGCACTTTGAAGCAAATGGTCCCTTGTTTTTTTGGTATAAATGGACATGTGGCTACAGTGCCACTAGGGGATCGTAAAATGGTTAATTCTGAATAGTACGCGACCATTTGTTTGCCAGAAGACTGAAGAACTAAAAAAGAATAACCGACAACGCAGAATCCTTCATCATGACAATGCTAGCTGCCAAACATCGGCCGAAACAACTCTGTATTTGGAATATCAAAAGATCGAATTAACGGGTCATCCATCGTACAGCCCTGACTTGAAGAATAAATTATGTGTTCAACGTTTTTCGAGCCGTAAAGAGCCTCTTTACGGCTCGAAAAATGGATGCGTTCAAAATGCACGTTTTGAATATACCACAATCAGAATAGAAAAAGTGCTACGAAAATTGGTTTCAACGTATGCCAAAGTGCATCATCATGGTGAATACTCAAAGTATTAAGCAATAAAACTATAAGAAATGCTATATGTTTGTTTTACTTTGTTATTCCAGAAACATAAATAGCAGCCCTCGTATAAATAGATAAACATAGGCATAAGGGAATTCTGGTAGTAGTGATTATAGAGAAAACTAAGTAGGTACTTTGAGTATGACATTCCACGAAGCAGTGTATAAGTATGTTATATTTAGTATTACTGCGGAGCGGTTAATGTTCTCTAAAATATTATATCTAAGTACCTTAAGTTTCTCAGCCAGTGCTTTAGCGAACATTATATTCGCCGCTTTACTTCGGCAATATGCCTCGAATGCGTTGTATTCCTTTCTTTCATAATTTAAGTCGTCTAAATCCAATTCATATTCTGAAATTAATATGTATACAATGTATTTCTATTTTGGGTGGGTATCGTGGGTATTTACAACGGTTATTTAGGTTAGATTATGTAGGTATTAGCTCGTCGACAAGTTTAACTCCATAGGTGGAGTTGCTACTCTGTACCTACCTACGATTTCTGATTTCGAAATTTGTGAGATAACAATAATAAAATCGTAACTCTTTTTACATAATCCATTGTTCTTATTACGTTTTATATCGTTTTATTAAAACAAGACAGTAAATAAACATGAAACAGGTTCTGTTTTAAAAGTTCACACGGTAACTTCTGTTTAATAATGAAAATTTAATTACTTTGATGTTACGATTTGAATACACAGGCATCGTTAATGTTAACTAGGTAATTTTACATAGTGTCAATTAACAGTCAAATTAAAAACCTAAATTAGCACTAGCCTTATATGAACCGATTTGACTTTACCTATTACTACTTTTCTTGAAATTACATGGTATTTAATTAATAACATTTTTTATGGTTTCTTGTCTGTGATATGACAAGTATTAGGTATTTTTTTTTCGTAATATTATAGCAAACTGGTCGGTCCATTTATTTACGCGTTTAATAGACAGTTTTGGAATGAACTAAAATAATATGAGCTCTAATTTTCTCTACGACCGTGATGGTTAGACTTAGGGATGACTTTATTGTCCGCCGTATAAAGGTCAAACAAAAAATCACACTTCCCCTGGTCCGTACAGTTTCACTTGAGAGAAGCACATCTTGACTAGAAAACACGGCTTACTCTTAAATAAAGAACTCGGTGTATTTGAGGTGCATAGGAAGCTCAGAATCGAATGCCGAATCAACCTTCATTGATGTACTGTTCGCTGAAAACATCTTTCGTCCGAAGTCTGTTCTACAAATTATAGGTACTTCACCTATTAACTGTTCGCCGAAAACACCCTTCTCCTGTTGATGGTTCTACAAACTATAATTCACCGATGAACGGTTCGCCGTAAACACCTTTCTTCAAAATCCCTTGAAAGAAACAATCGTTGCAGGTTCCATGGTCGCTTTTACGATGGCAGCACTTAATCGTAAAAGCGATGGGTGACCATGGATTAAGGATGTCATAGTCGAACCTACAACGATTGTTTTATTCAGGGGACCATTGAGGAAGGGTGTTTTCAGCGAACAGTTCCTTACCAATTAACCTCTAATTAACTACGGGTTGAACACATATTAAATTATTTTAATCTTAAAAGTTGGAAACAGTGTTTAATTCTAAATATTAATTTTGATACACTAAATGTTAAACCCGCATCCATATCGACAAGTTTCGAAACTAAAACGAATTTATCCTTAACAATACTTACTTGCATGGACGTATGATGACACAAATACAATTCTAGCGGGTGGTCCTTTAATCATAGAAGGTAGTAACAAGACTATCAACAAAGCGTGTGCAAGATGGTTGGAGCCTATATGTGTTTCGAATCCATCCTCCGTACGTCCCTCGGGGCACATCATCACGCCCGCATTGCATATTAGTACCCCAACGTGCGCATGTGATGACGTTACGCGCATAGCAAACTCGCGCACGCTACATATGCTACAAAGGTCTAACTTCTCCACGAATAGCTCGCCTGTACCCTTGTCAGTCTTTGCTAGCTGTTCTATATCTTTTCTCGCGGTATTGGCTTTTTCTATATTTCGGCAGGCCATTATAACTCGAGCACCTAAAATATTTGCCGATTCAGTTAATGGGAAAATAAGATTTACTGTTGGTGTCCTACCTGGTGTATTACCTATGTCCGTAATTTAATGTAAAAGAATAGTATTCCTTAGATATTTTAGTGAGTATATGTAGTTCAAAATCATATCGACCGAGATCTTGAAGTCATATCTGGCCGATTCGGCTTTCGACAGGACTCTCGAGTATTTTTCTTTGTTTCTAAATGAATCTTGGTATAAGCGTTTTGATTTATCGAATTTTTGTAGGCTGCTTTAGGAATAACAATAAGTCCTCAATTCTAAATAAGGGGTCAAGTTAAATAAAGTGAGTTAAGTTTTGCTGCGGCATGTTTTAAGGTCATAGCTCATTACAGGCACCCGAAACCCGACCAGCACCACTTTGTCACTCGGTGTCTACACTTTGTCGACGGGTGGTCCACGGCGAATCTCGCGTTGTTCACCAGGAAACAATATACACGTTCGACGGGGAGCGCCGATGCATCACCCTCGCGCTTGAAACACTCGCGTACAGCGCGCGGCGCCTGGAGTTGATGTAATGAGCGAATACCCATAGTACTCCACAAAAATAATACTAACCACTTGAAGCGAACCGGTGCTGGTCGGGTAACGGGTGGCTCCATAGGAATCGTAATAATAGGACACTAGAAGTCACATAGACGCTTGATCTTATCATTGTTATTATTGTTTAATTCGATGGTGTAGACGAACACCACTTACAGAAATTCACACCATTCGTGATTTAGTTGCGCGGAGCGTCGTATGAGAATTTATATTGTTCAAATGGTGAACTGCAGCATAATGGATTGTGAAAACGAATCAGGGGCGTGTAATTCAACTAATGAAGCCATAACATTTCATGGGTAAGTTCATTTTTTGTTAATAAATCATTGTTTTTACTAATTTACATCTCGATGAATCCTTTAATAAGATATCTGCCTTTGTAAACATTCATGTATTACTTTCTGTTTTGTACAATAACCATTGCTGCTTTGGTTCTTATTGCACGCGATGTTGACAAACTAGCTTATTTTTTTCTTTAAAAAAAAAGACAACTCCCACTAGGAATAGGAACTGCACTAGGAATAAATCATGTGTCGCAAATCCTGTTTACAAACATACATGAAACGGATACAAAGAACACCCAGACTCAGAACAACAATTTGTGAATCACACAGTGTCGTCCCATGTGGGGATCGGACCCACAGCACTCAGCGTAGTGGAGAGCGGCGTGGCGACCGCTTATACCACTACGCCATCCGTGCAGTCATGTGCTAACCAATGTAATGTGAAGAAATAGGTATCATTGTGCGTTGTCTATTTTTATAATACGGCTTCAGGCATCGGTCGCCAGTTAGTGATGTACCGTAACATTCATTTGAATGAAAGTACAGTTTAAATCGATGTTAGTATAAAGATATATTTATCAGATTTTCGAACGTAAAAAAACTAAAAGATATACTCGTATGCAGGTAAAATATTTTTAATATAAATTATACATAATTTCTTTAGGCGTTTAATTATTTCTTTGAGTTATAAATATTATAAACATTTAGCATGTTGATAAATGTAAATAAAATGTTATCTTTTTAGGAAGCATAAACCATTATATTACTATTTATAATTATCCTGATGTTAAAGAAAACATTTTAAATAAATTTCTTCATTTTATGGTTCAATAAACTCATTTCGTAGAGTTGCCGATAATATTAACTACTAGAGATACTTGCTTATATTATTAACTATATTTTCAAACATAGTTGACGGTTATCTAAATATAAAAAAAGGAAACTGCTGTGTTTATTACTTACTTCTTAATAACTTATTTCTACATTAATATATAAATCTAATTGTTATATGAAGGAACTATTTGTTCAGTAGTAGCTTATTATTTCATTTTTTTATTTCTGTGAGTTTTAGTGTGTTTTCTTAATATTTTTTTATTCATTATATTTTTTATTTATAATAATAATATTTCGGACAGCAGACAGAACTCCATCTAGTTTCAAACTAAGCAGAGCTTGTACTACTTATGAAAACTAGATTAATTGATAGAATACATTTTTTTTTTTTGGTAAATACATACATGTTATAGATAGAAAACACCCAAACTCCAAAACAAATATTATTATTTTTATGAGTACCATTACTGTTAAAATTAAAAATAAAAGTATATATCTATGGTTTCCATTGCTACTTGTAATCCATTTTATCTTAATGTATAAAAAAACGATACCTTTGAAAAATTAAATCAATCCCTAGCATTGTATACAGGGATTCTCATGCATCGAAAGGGATTGTAGTGGTGCCACATAATACATTGCAGTAAAATGCAATGTAACTCCTGGAAATTAAGGTTTATAATAGTTTGTGCCCTATATATTTTACCGCTGTTTTGCAAGTGTGGGCGTGTCTTATACCTATTTGTTTGTATTTTGTGTATGTTTTAAGATATGGCCACATCGGTTTTGGAAGGAATCGAGCGCTATTTCATTTCTAATGTGTCGTATTATTACGATTCTGTGGGTGGCTCTAATGAGCTATACCTTTACTGTCCGACTGATAATATTTAATGAGAGCAAGAATCTATTCAATTTTAAAAATTGGATTGAAAAAGTAGTCTAATATAAGTACTTACTATAAATAATTTATTTCTTTAAAACATCTGACTATTTTCTACTAGATAAGGTAAATAAGCTTTGTCGTCATAACAGTGATCTTACCTCTTTGATAAAGATTTAATGCTGTCTCTTTCCCTATCCCGGTGTTACTCCCCGTAATAATAACCGTTATCCCTTCCAATCTTCTATTGCTCTTGCACCAACCACTAATATAATCCATTTTTCAAAGTAAAAACTGCAATGGAAAAAGACAATATGCGTTAAGACGTATTTAAGTGTGTATGGAATCGTGTTAACAGAAGATTTTTTTGTCATAAAATATTGATTTTTATTCCTTAATAAACATACCTAATAATAATATAAGTATAATTGATAGGCACATTTATACGTACTTACCTGTTTAATACAGCAATAGTGATGAATAAAAAATATCTACTATTTTCTCCACAAGGCGACGTAGGTAATGTACAAGAAACGATCTTGGTCAATTCCGAAACAGAATAGGTACAAGGTCGTGTCGTGAACTCGTCACGTGAGTGACCGGACAAGTTACTTGTTCGTAAGCCGACAATGCAATGTAGGCGTTACGACTGACTCAAATCGAACCTCGCCGTCATTTTTCAAATAATTTAATTAACTAAATTTAGCAACTCCTACCACCGGCACGTAGGATTTAGAACACATACGTTCTCATGTTATTATTTTTTATGTTTTCTGCTTTTGAACTAGTGAGATGCACGTCTAATGTAGCTTATCTATTTTCGACAATTGGAGCTTGTGGGTTGTATAAATAACTAATACGAACTGAAATTTCCACAATGGTGACAATAATTAGCCAATAATAAATTAGGCATATATAAGATATATACGACATGCCGCTTGGTCTAGTGGTTAGTGGTAATGACTGCTCAACCAGAAGTTTCGGGTTCGATCCCCACTCAGCACAAATAATTGTGTGGTGAGCACTAATTTTTTTTATGGAATAATTGGCAAACGAGCAGACGGGTCACCTGGGCCTTAATACTGCTATTTTAATATTGTATCAATAGACTGTCGATGGAATGTCGTCGGAATAGTTTTGCACTTTTCCTATTCTACTATGTAAGACCAATGGCCTCCCGATGACTTGTCACTGATACAAATTTCGTCGATGTCTTTGTAACAGTTTGTTTCTCAAGGTATGTTATGTAATGTTAATGTTATGTTAGGTATATTTCCCGGCATTGTTGATATCAAAAAGAAAGAAGTAAATCACGCAGCTCTGCCTGCAAGGGTTTTACTAAGAGAACAATTATTAAAATTCAGTCTGCAGCCACCCCTGAATATTCTTACAAGGGATTACGTGAAATAGAAAATTCTATGATGAATTTAATTTTATTAGTGTATTTACAACCTTAAAAGAGCCTATCATGTTTTATTGTCGTCATATTGATCGTCGAGAAGTTCACGCATCTAAACCAATCTGTACAGAGACAGGAGAAAAGGTTTCACTCGAAGAATCTTTCGTTTAATTTGTTGGTACTTTATTACCAGTATTCGATTCGTAAGAAACTAGGCTTCGATCTCTGGCAAATAACACAAAAAAATGAGTTTTACACCAATATATTCTTTTAACGTTTTCGGGTACCTGGACATAAAAAAATATCAAGTTTGGCAAGAAGCATGAGTTTAAAATTAAAACAACAATAATTATAAGTTGATCTACGATAACTTTTTTTTCTTAATGTATTGAATGCGTCTTGTCCGAATTTATATTTTGATTATATTTTACAAAATTTACAAATACTTACCTAATTGTAAGCTTATACATTTTTTTACATAATCGTATGCCTTGATAAATTTGATGGCGATTGTGATATTGATGTTTATCCTCGTAACTATTTGTGACTTTTCTCTTGTAAAAGTCAACTTTAATTACCGGATTCCAGAGGAATTCGATATCTGCTTTTCTACTGGCCTGAGACTGTTCCTGGTATATAAGTATCAGCTTGGATCATTGACATGTATAAATAGATTGTGAAAATGTTAATAAAATAGCGTCCAACCTTTGGCCACTAAGTTGGTTTTGTTGTTTTTATGCTATCACTATTAACGCTCGATTTTTACGCCCGTATGTTGTAGTTCTTTTGTAGCGTGACACTCCATCTAGACATAAATTAAATGAAGGATAATATGTTAATCTGCACAGATTCTTATAACTATCTATTGCGAATCTTAGATGGTAGATTATATGCCTAAAATATGTTAAACATAAATAATAATTTAACAAACAGGATAAAGGTTTTTTTTGGTCATCGCCCGCCAAAATTTTTTAATTCGACATCGAGTCACCAGTAACCAATTTCTATGTACGAAACTTATAAGTGAATGGTTATTAAACAGTAACTTTAACAATTCACGGCATTTACAAACTCCTTTTAACCCCACAACTGAAACATTTTTTTTGCACATTAAAAGAGTGTTTCTTTTATTTATGCACAAATAAAAGAATGACTACCTTAATCTATATACATATCGATGGACATCTTTATAATCATATACGTGTAAACAGTAAAATCCAACACCGTTTTAAAGACAACCATGAAATCTTGACCATCTATTTTTTTTAAAGATTTTTTTATAATCCATTTCGTTTTTTTACTTCCAGAATCACTGTAGAATCTATTTCATAAAAATCATTCATATATTACATATGTATATGACTTATTATATATATTGTGTTATATTGTATTTAATACCACTGTTACAGGTTCTGAAAAAAATATATAAGTGTAATAATAGATAACAATACAGTTTTGTTTATTTATGGCTATTTTTTTAAATTCAGTTTTCACAAATCCAGAGATTTAGGAGAACAAAGAATAACCCACATTATGCTTTAGATTCAATAAAACTTTGTGAATGAATGACTTCTTAGCTATGTATTTGTTCTAGTCCATAATAATATTATAAATGCGAGTGTCTCTGTCTGTTACCGCTTCACTCTTAAACCGCTGGACCAATTTGGACATTTTTTAATGCAAATATTTCATTGTCTTTAAATTATATATTAACCTTCAGAAGTATATAGGTGTGATGTTTTTGTGCTAAGTTTTATATCTATGGGTAAATGTTTTCCTAGAAATACTGCATGGTCAGGAACGAAAGTTGCTTATGACATGCAAATGTATAGAACACTAGAGCGCAAACACCAAACCTTCCTTGAGGTACTCTTTTGATTACAACTTCTTAAAGTTCACATATTGCATGAGCGATTCAATGTATAACTACAAAACATAATAAATAACAAACTGATTTAACATAACAGTGGAATACAGTAAAATCAATTTATACTATAAAACACATAACAACTTGACTAGTTTTACAAAATCTTTTTCAATACTTCATAAGAAGCATTGGTGATACCCCAACTTAAAAATGCCCGCGAAATATTTAGCAATGCTCCATGATACAAATTTAATAATTTAAAATCTCTTTTACTTAATATATCCTTAAATTCAAAAAATATTGATTGGTGTGAACCACCAAGCCTACACTGCATGTTTACTTTAATAACATTCAATGGATAAAACAAAGTGCTTAGAAAAGCACCAATTGATGCCCCTGCTACAAAGTTTTGTATGCCCTGATATAAATTGTTCTCTTGTTGCGGCATTCTAGCCTTCACTTCATCACGTAATATGAAAAACAGAGAGTTAGATGGGCCGTTTCTAAATAAAATAGGCAATAATCCTCTATAAAACTCTTTTATAGGGTAATGTTTGGCAATGTGCATTGCTGCGTGAGCAGTGTTTTTAAATTTGTAGTGGTATTCAGGATGAATTAGTAGTGTTTGTACTCTTTCAAATGGCATTAGTGTAGCTTCGCAACAACCTGCAACTATTCCAGAAGTGGCTTTCGCAAGATAAGGATCAAATCCTAGTCTTAGCAGAGGTTGTAGAGATTCATCATAAACACCAAACATTACAGACATAGACAAAGTTTTCTGCAGTAAAGGTGGTAACATTCCACGGTACAGGTATGTGAGGCCTTCTCTCTGCAATTGGTTTAGAGCAAAAGTTGTGTGCACGCCATGCATCATCTGAAATAAATTTATTTATGTAATAGTATTGCTGATGTTTAACCAACAATATGTACCTATGTACTTAATATTTACATACATGATGTTATTTATTTATATTATCATTATTATGTTAGCTTAGAGAAATCTTCTATGGTTTACTGTCTATAAATGACACACAATTCTAAAGGAGGAGGATCTCAATTTGTTTGTTAACTTAGAACTCTCATCATTTGTGAACTGATTTTGAAACGTCATTTTTATTTAAATGGGTATAAGTACTTCCCGTTTGGTCCCATTTAAATCAGGAAAAAAAAAACACCCCTAAAGGTGGAAAATTAAGACTACAGTTTACAAACTTTCAGAAAAAGTAAAATAAAATCACCAACTTGATGATATAAATGATATAAATTTGTTACCTACAATTACTATTGTAAAAATAAAACTTAAATAATTTTTAGTACCTGTCGAAATATCAGTTTGTTCAGTGGATAGCTGATGAGTATATTGCAGAATGCTGAGCCTCCGCCACACATAAATTCCTTCCAGTGCTGTAGGCTACCTGGTTTATGAGCAGGGGCAGACATAACCAGATGACTCTCTGCGACAGACGTTCGATCAAGAAGATGTCGCTCAGACATTTCTTGCTCTCCACATTCACAAGACATTTTAGAAATCACATTCTATAACAAAAAAAGCTTAAAAGAAAGATTTGTCTTGGAATTCTTTAAACATAACATTAGAGAGAGGAGAATTATATTAGAAGACTGTATTAACAAGTTTTATGGTCTCAAAATGTCAACTAAACATGTCGTGTAAACTAATAAATAGAAACTTGTCTCAATATTACTTTCATGTATATAGGATATGAACACTAACGGAAATGGTTATTCTAAACTTTCTACACATTTAATAAACTGTGCTTTTTACCTTCCTTAAGCTGAAATTATTTAATTACATAAAATGTTACGTGCAAAATCAGCAGGTAACTTTTAATTACTTAATAGTAATGCCATAGTTCTAAGCATCCACAGGCAAGTGACATCTTTAATAGATTTTTGATATATCACTAGTTAGGAGGAGGTACTATGCTTCTTGTTATGAAATTTTTGCATAAAAAATGTTTTTCTAATATTCAGTTAGCCAACCTACGTGACCATACTAGACAATCCAGTAGTTGACACATTTTGACAACTGTCAAAGTTGTCAAAGGGTTACCAGAGTGTAATGTAACCACTAAACATCTTTTTTGTCATTGATGCTGATGACACTTCGCAATTTCGCTCAGGAGCGTGGAGGTAAGGCGAACAGACGCTGTGTATAAAAAGTCTCCGTCAAAATGCGCTACAGTAGCATCAGGATTTAAAGAACGGGCCTAAAGTTGTAAGATTTTGTTAAACATTTATTGGCTAATTAATAATTAGAACTAGATTGCGAAAATTGTCAATGAGTTTTACAGATAATAAATAAAAGTGTAATAACTTTCAGACAATATAAGTATTTTAACTCAACAAACTTCACTTCCGTCTATAACTACTATGTTCATGTCATTCCCGTTGGCTACACTAGCGCTATCGGTTTTAGAACTATTTTTACTAATTATAACTTGACACTTTTATTTTCTTTCCCCACATATGAGTTCGTTTTCCTTACCTCTACCCCTTCGACACACACTTCGACATCTTCAGCACCATAGTCTGCTGTTAAAAGAGTGGTAAAGACAGTTGGCAGTCCTGATTAAACACCTGATTCAAGAAGAACCTTATATGTATATTTCACTTTGTTATACTTATACCTCAATTATTACTTGTACCCTTACCTTACCTTGTACTTCAATTATTTTCAGCAGTAAATACAGTACTGTTAAAAGAAAAAGAAATATGTATAATATTCAAAATTAAATTGACTGCTTGCATTTTTATTAACATAATTACTTCAGTAGCAAAAAGAAAAAAAAGATAATATCGTAGCGACAATCCACGATTTGACAGTATGTTTAAAATTTGAAAATAATTAATTAAGTAGATCTTTGATAGAAAGCCTAAAATAATATAAATGAAGAAAAGATAATTACTAATAGATATTGTTTTCCTTTGAGAAAAATAAGTTTTATTCGTGAGTCAGGCGATTGGAAACACTAATCAGAAAAGGTGTCGTAATAGTACAATGTCTAGACGCAGAACGTCACTTTACAAGCTAGCAGAATTATTACTGATCGTTACATTAACAGACGGAATAATTATCCAAATTAAAGCGTAAGAAAAGCGCTGAAACAATTAACATCTTATCCAAATCATAAAAAGTTTGCAATTTATTTCGACAAAACATAAAATAAATATAGAAAGTACCAGGTCATTCAGAAAGTATTTCGAAAAAAGTTTTTATGTTTGAAGCCCTGGCTGATTATGATTATTCAAAAAAATGAGATTATTTACAAATAAAAATACTTTGGTTCGAATTTCAAACTACCCTTCACCTTTATTGAGAGCTAAATCGAATTATTGTCTCTCATTGAGAAATGGATCTGCATCCAGTGATGTTTTGAGTTGTTGTATATAATATCACTAGCTTATGTCCGCGACTTCGTCTGCGTGGTGGTCAAATGCTCCAAATCAGACACCATAGTGGATACAATGAATCAAAATTATAGGTATATGTATAAATAGACCGGCAGCTAGCAATAGAAGTTCAACACCGATTTAGTGTCAACCGAACTCCGATTTAGTGTTAAAATGCACCTAATGTCTCAACCATTCGAAGAGTGATCAAAAAATTTGAAGAAAATGGGTCGATTATCGATATTAAGAATCCTTTGCGTCAACGTAAAGATCGGTCTCTATAAAACCATTGCTGCTGTAAACAAGACTGACGCCGAAAACCTATAAACATCAATTCGGCATCGTTCTCAACAACTTCAAATGTCACGAATCCTACGCAGCGAATTTTGACAAAAGACCTTCATGCGTACAAGATTCAGTTAACTCAGGAGCTCAAACCAGCAGACCATGGCAAGCGCCGGCAATTCATTCAATGGGTAATAGAGCAAAGTGAATCCGATGCCAATTTTTCGAAAATAGTCAACTTCTCCTATGAAGCGCATTTCACAAAATTGACGAATTTGGGGTTCAGAAAATCCTTATGCAATCCATGAGAAACAAATGCACCCACTACAAGCAACCGTCTGGTGCGGATTTTGGTCTGGAGGCGTGATTGGGCCCTTACTTTTTTGAAGATAAGGCCGAAATTACCGTGACTGTGAACGGAACTCGTTACAGGAATATGAGTTGGAGTTCTTGTAGCCTCAACTGGATGGCATGGATCTGGACGACATGTGGTTTCAGCAGGACCGCACCACTTGCCACACCGCGCATGAAACAATCGACTTATTGCAACAACGATTTCCAGAACACATTATCTCACGAAATTCTGGCCACCGAGATTTAACGGAGTGCGATTTTTTTCTTTGGGGTTTGTGAAATCTCGGGTTTATGCGAATAAACCAGAAACAATTCCTGAGCTCAAATCAGAAATCCAACTCGTCATCGGTGAGATACAGCCACATCTCTGTGTAAAAGTCATGGAAAATTTCATGAAAAGAGTACTGGCCTGTCATCAGAGCCGTGAGGGCCATTTGCCTGATATTTTATATCATACTTAATCGGAACATGTCTTCTTTACAATCCAATATAAATATCACAACTCTTTCATAAAATACGTGTTTTTATTTTAAAATGAAAAAGTGTACTCTTACTGAGACATCCTTTATAAATATATACACACGCCGGCAGAATTAGCGGCACACAAAAAAAGGGGGGCATATAAAATAGTTAATTTTATTTTTAAACAAATAGTAACTAAACATGAATCAACAATTAAGTTAACATGTTTTGACATTAATTTGCAATACCATACCTAAAGTTTAATGGAAAAAAACTAAAGTAAACTAAATGCATTTTTTTTAGATTTCTATATGACAGAGAATCAGAAAAAAGATTTTGTGACGGTTTACAATTAATTAAATGTATGTTTAAAATCGAGTGTTACCCCCGTGCTCTGGTTATGGTTTCCATCCGTCTGGGCATGCTGCGGATGATGTTATCAATGAGTACTTGGGGCAACCTGCCATTCTTCAATAATTGCGTTTCGCAACTGCCCAGATTGTTGGAAGTCAGTCTTCTTTAGCAAGTGCCAAACGTGTTCAATTGGATTCATATCCGGGGACCGTGCTGGCCACTCCATCACCGTTACACCAACATTGTTTAGGTATGGCTGTACTGAGCGAGTACTGTGAGCCGAGAATTATCATGCACCAGCTGACCCGCGCAACTTCGTCTGCGTCTCTCAATAGTAATAAATTTTCTCTGTTTTTGAAACATTCTTCATTGGTGCTCCGCCCCTATTGGTTTTAGCGTGATGATAATAATATATAGCCTATAGCCTTCCTCGATAAATGGGCTATCTAACACTGAAATAATTTTTCAAATCGAACCAGTAGTTCCTGAGATTAGCGCGTTCCTCTTCAGCTTTATAATATTAGTATAGATTAGAATGAAGTCGTTGCCAATAAAGGGGGCAAATGGCACAACATATTCTTCGGAAATCTCCCTGATATACCGATCATCAGTCAGATTCCCGCCGTCAACTACCATCAACTCCGTACGAGCTCCTAAACATGTCCCTCCCCAGACCATAATTGAGCCGCCTCCATATGCCACTGTATTTTCAAAATTAGACTGGATATAACGCTCTTCTTTGCGTCTTCATACTCGCTGCCTTCCATCAATCTGATTTAACAGAAATCTGCATTCATCAGTTGTGAGAACCTGACCCCACTTCACGAGCAAAGTATAGTCGGTTTGTGCGTTGGTGTCTTTCAAGTTTTAGTGCTTTGGCGGGCATAAATGAGCTTATACCAACTTCTTTGAATCTTCACCGAACTGTCCGCTCACTCACTCTTACTCCTCGAACCTCCTCCAATACATTTTGGGCCTGCACCGCCGTTAGTCCCGTGTTCCGACGAATTTGAAGTTGTAAAAAACGGTCATCTCTCCTTGAAGAACACCTTTTCCTGCCTCGTCCTCTCCTCCTCACTAGAGAATTCATCAATCTGTACCTGTTGATAACGATCGACAGTCTTGTAGCAATCTATCTGTAGGATTGATTATTTCTTTTCATTTTATCTGCCCTAATGATTTTTGATAGCGTTAAATCAGGCATACTTAGATGCTCGTAACTGATCAAAATGTGATAAAACACAACATCCTCATAAAACTGCAATACAATGTTTTTCAAATGAAATTTACGAACTTTACGAAAACAGAAAATCAACTCCGAAGCAGTGGATAAAGATGTATGAATGAAAAATTAAAATAAACGAATGAAAAAAATGACAGTAGACTAATGCTCCGTTTTCAAATTAGACCTAAAATTAAAAAAAAAGGAATGTTAAGGACAGTGTTACGAGAAAACACATACAATTCTTCCTTTTTTTGTGCTTCAATTATACACACGCCGGTGTATAATTGAGCACGTGAAACTCGAGTATCCTTTCCCCCACATGCCTCAGATTTCTACGTCATACAAACACTTGACCAATATATAAAAGGTAAGAAGAAATATAGCAAATAGTTAGATTATTATCAATGATACTAATAAAACTAGAAAAATCTAATTTACGAGTATCCTATACCTTTACCTACCCATAACATATTGGCTATCAAAATCCTGGCTAAGGTAAAAGAGTTCATGGAGACGACAAAATTCGTTTACTTTACCTCTCGCGCCTGTGGACGTTGAGACTGTCAATTAATGAAAACATTAAGAAACAAATTTTCTTCTATTTCATTCAGAAATATATAAGTTACAATGCGATTGAATGCTCTTTAAAAAAATTTAGTCTTAAGGAAGTCTCCGTTTATAGCGTTTGTTTCTTGAAGTTTAGGTAATTATATCTGTATATTATGCCTCTTTCTATAACTGAGTCTGATTGTAACAAGTGTCAACAATTTACTCACACCTGATTGTACATCTTAGCAGAACGCTTTATAAACATTAATTTAAATATTGTGAAAATAAATATGTATTGGTCCATCTTATCTACGGTACTAGTTTTTGCATTATACTTTTATTTCACGAGAACGCTGAAGTATTGGAAACATAAAAATGTTAAAGGACCGAAACCAATCCCGGTTTTTGGAAATTTCAAAGATGTTGCGCTGAGAAGAAAGGCTAAGGTAACACTATATAATGAGATCTATAAACAATATCCCGAAGAGAAAGTAGTTGGACTTTATCAGATGACATCGCCGACTTTATTGATACGTGACTTAGATATAGTGAAACAAGTATTGATAAAGGACTTCAATTTGTTCCCTGATCGCGGAATGTATTTCAGTAAAAAGGGTTTAGGAGAAAATATTATCCACTGTGACGCTGAAACGTGGAAGATTTTAAGAAACCAATTCACCGTGCTGTTTACATCCAGTAAGTTCAAAAAAATGTTTCAAATACTAGACGATCGGGGTGATAAATTCGCAAATTATGTTAAATTTTTTACTAAAAACCAGACGGAACAAGACGTATTTAATCTCGTTTTCAAATACGGTGTGTCTACATCAATAGTTACTGCTTTTGGACTCGACGTCGACACATTTAAAAATGAAAGTGATTGGTTTGATATCCTAGATAAAAGTTTTATAAATAGCTATTTATTAGAATTAGATTTATTGTTTCCCGGACTTTTGACGAAAATGAATTTAAGCATTACAATTGGAGAAACCAAGAATATTTGTCACCAAATCCTTAAAACTTGTTTAAATAAAGAAAATACTTGCTATAAAACAAATGTTTTAAACGTTAAAGACGTTCTTAACAATTTAAGGTCGGATAACAAGAACGCTGAACAAATGAACAAAGAAAGTAATCCTACCATCGAAATAACAGACGATTTGTTAGCGGGTCAGGTGTGGGCATTTCATATGGCGGGATACATAAACAATACCTTAAGTATGACTTATACTTTGTATCATTTAGCTCGTAATCAAGACATACAAGATAAATTGAGAAAGGAAATCCATGAAGTGATGAAAAAATGTAATGGAACCTTAACTTATGAGTTGCTAAAAGAAATGAAGTATCTTAAAATGGTTTTTTACGAAACATTGCGAATAAATCCCCCGACACACGCACTTACAAGACACCTAAGAGAAAGTTTAAAGTTGGAGGGGATGGATTTAACTATTGATAAAGGATCAACCGTAGTAATGTGTCCATACGCAATTCAGCATGATGAAAAATATTATCCCGAACCTGAAAAATTTAATCCGGAACGATTTTCTTCAGAGAATGCTAAACAACAACATCCATGTGCTTTTTTATCGTTTGGAGGAGGACCTAGAGGTTGTTTTGGTGAGTTACTAGTTTTCTTTACACTTTTAAACCAAATATTTTTTAAATAATATTCTACCACATTCACACAATGTGATCGAGTCCCAAACTAAGCAAAGCTTGATATAAATACATTTATACTTTTTTTTTGTAAATACATACATATTATACTTAGGAACACCCAGACTAAATCAAACATTAAATATTCATGCACACAAATGTTTGACTTAGTGGAAACCGACCTTTGGAACAGCAGTCCATTACACAAACTACTACGCCATTCGGTCGTCCAATTAGTGGACTATTAAAGGCTGTTTATGATGATAATGATGAAGGTCAACAGAGTTTTGTTCAATAGAGGTCGAAGAGTAACATAGACAAGCAGTAAAAATTGTTCAAACAATGTTGACGTATTATTGCCCTCCCTGATCTTCTGACCTTTGTCTTGGAGTACACTTAACTATTGTTATAATATACTTTATTGGCCATTGGCAAAACACCAACAAGTACCCTAGAACCTAGTATGATTTGATTTGCAATTAATTTCATCCAAGAGAAATAATTGTGTCAAGAGCTGGTGCTTATGACACATGTGATCAGGAGTAAAGAGAACACGTATGTATGTACTAATATTACTAAATAAATAAATATCACACACATTTTTTTATTTTACACACGCACGCGCACCCTCCCGGGGTGGAAGGGGGTGTGCGCGCGTGCGTGTGTCAAATGAACACATGCGTCAGTGTGATTGCCTCTTGGCCTATCTCAACCCGCAGGACTCTATATTACACAACGAAACAGTTTATTGCTTCACACATATCGTAAACAAAAACTATTTAGTAATTAAGTTAAGTTAGTAAGTTAAATATTATTATTTTAGCAACAATTTGATTTCGTGTTCGTGACACATCGTTATTTTTTGAAAAGTGGAACTTTTTTATAACTTAACCTAACCTACTATTCTGGTCACCATAGATGGGACAAAATCACAGTGAACTGTGAATGACCGGTGACTTATTATTCGATTTATTCGTACGTAGGTTAGGCCTGACGCTTTGATGCCAATAAGCTGTTTTCAGACGATGCATAAAGACCCTGTTTCGCGTATTTAACAATAAATCTAGTAATTATTTTATTATATATAGCTACCATTCCCGACATAATAATTAAGAAAATACTAGCATTACTATTAAATAGTAAACGTAAGTAGGTTAGGGTTAGACGTAACCTACCTACCTACCACCCCTGCCCTACGTACGCAAAAATCGAATGATAGATCACAGTTCACTGCGATTTTATCCCATGTCTACTAGTCACTGCTTGTTTCTGATTGCGATTCGTTTTCTTGTGGGGTCGCAGGTCTAACCTAACCTACCCTACTTTTTCTCTCTTTTCTCTAGGAATAATCAATCCTATGGCGCAACAGTATTTATGCATATTTATTTTCGGATTAGTTTAGTACTGGTTTATTAAAGATGTGGTTTTGTTTTGCTTTACAATGATTATTTTGATCTAAAAAAAAATTCATTGATGTAAATAAGTTTACGGGTGATAAGTTTTTTTAAGGCACCGACTTCAATGTACAATATGTAGTGTTTTTACTTAGATTTGTAATTATTTTTTAATTTTTAGTGCTCTTTGTCAGTATTGTTAGAAGGCGGTTCAATTTTTTTTTAAGAATTTATTTATCATTTTTGGTGTAAGATACGTTTGTAATGAGTAGATAAGTACAATTTATAAAACACTACGTACCGTAATGTATAGTACCAAACTAGTATGTAGTATGTTAGATTATATTAAATATAATTTAATAAGTTCGTTACTTTTTTTAGGTAAGGTAGTAAGATGTTACATTTGAACCCGAAAATATATTGTTTGCCACATTACTTAATTTTACAAAACTAGGAGTGGTATTTTTTCTTCACATTTTAATGGAACTAAAGGGGAAATATACGCTTCCTAATTAAATAAAAAAATATAATCGGTTTACAAATGAGTGTTTTGACTATTTAGATAATTAAATCATAGATAATAAAAAAATTCTTCTTCACCAAATCTTCACGAATATTATCAATGCGAAAGTGACGTTTTATTTTTCTTTACTCGGGACTTCAGGCACTTCTAACAAATACACCTAATGGTGAGTCAAATAAATTTTCTGGAGAAAATTCATATTCGGCTTATTATTATTATTGAAGTTCTTGAAATCAGATGTTATTTATCGTAATATGATAAAATGTTTCGAGTTTCAAGTATGCGTAATAAAACATTTCCTTTATAGAATGCTAACAATTTTCACTTGAGGGTGATTGTGTATTTGCTTCGATCATCGTAATCTAGTTGGAATTATCAAACTACCGGGCATTTTTAGTTCAGAATTAGCAAAAGGGCGCGCATACTATATCATAAACTAATGACAATTTATAATGTGCAATCTAATGCTTACTGTAGTGATTAACCATAACGGACTCCCTACAAATATAATATGTACAAAATATAATTTCGTGTGAGTACATAGGACAATGCAATCTATTTTCTTAACTTTTTTGAATCATTGATTTAGAAACCTACTATCGCTGTTCCTTGTTATTACTTTGTTTATTTTTATATAATGCTCACTAAGTGAATTATAACGTTTTTGAGTATTAATAAAGTTCTTTAAACCTAATTGTTAAAAATATAATTGATATACTAAGTTTCCAAAAAAGGGCATTGACTGACAATGAGATGGTATGGAGTTCATTTTTTGGTAATAGAGGATCCAGAACTAATATTATAAAGAGGAAATATTTTTTTCTTTGCTTGTTTGTATGAATAGGCTCCAAAACTACTACACCGATTTCAACCATTTTTTCACTAATAGAAAGCTTCATTATCAGGAAGTAACATAGGCTATAATTTATTTCAATAATCTTAGACATGTGCAAAAAAAAAAACAGGTTATGTTAATCAAGGTGTAAAAAATCGTCTCAAAAATTTCCTTTCTTCGCGATCGCTGCTAAAATGGTTAAAGATAAGACAAAATAATGTACTATAATAATTTTAATGAATTGTAGGACTAAAAAAGATTACAAAAAAGTACAAAAATATCTATCTATAACATCTAAGCTATAAAAAGTGTTTGTATTTTAAAAATTATTAAATATCCACTACATACTTTAGATTCATTTATTCGTGTGATTCTATGAATCGTTATGAAATTAAAGCATTTTATCATCAAGTTAATTTCAAGTAGATAATTTATTGTCTTTACATCTTTAAAATCGGTGAATTCGTTAAAGCAGATATCATTTAATTATGAACATTTCATTTCGAATTGATGAGTATAAAAATGCTATGCCGAGGTCCGGCAGGGAGGGGTTAGGTCTATGTGGTAAATAGGTGGCGACATTTCTGCTGCTGGATTTTGCACAAAGTTCACACGGGCGAAGCCGCGCGGGTCAGTTAGTAAGGTATAATTTGTTAGTTAATTTGACTTAAGTCAAAGTTCTTTCTCTTAATCTCAATATTCAATTGCAAATAATCAATTTCAAGAATCTTAGGACAGCAATTTTATTTTTCGTTAAATACTGACTACTAATGACGTCGTGGGTTTTACAAAATCCAACATAGATGTAAGAAAATATTACGTGTATGTCATCATCAACATCAACAGCCTATATAGTCCACTGATGGACATAGGCCTCTCCTTAGAAACTTAGAAGTTAGTATGTAAACTACCCAAATGTTTAAATATCTAATATTAATATCCGTATTAAGGATGTCTGTAAGAGATCGCCGTGAGCTATAAGACGTACTACCTAACGTATGTGTTAACTGTATACAATAAAGATATAAATAAATAAAATAAATAAAACTTCATCCCGACAGTCCGACATACTATTCTTATGCTACATGCAGGGTTTAGGCAATCCTTGTTTTACTAGTAGCTCAAGGAAGACTTTTTCCCGAAAAAGAACAAAGTTAAAAAGTCATACGAGTCGTTTAGTAGTTTTAGTTTTCATCAGATTCTTTTAGATTGAAAATATATTCTTACAATTAAAAAAATCTTACCTACTCATTAGACTTATTTGAATAATTGGATTCTTTGTTTTTTTGCAGCCCCACAATATGCACAACTTCAATTCGGCGTAGGTATTTCGAAACTATTAAACAAGTTCCGAGTAGAAACTTCCAGAAATACATGCAGTCAGCTAACGTACGATCCGTATCACGTGCTAGTTAAACCTGCACCAGCAGTGCTATTGAAATTTATAGCTCTGGACATGTAGTAACGAAATATTTCTAAACCTTGTAAAAGAATATAAGTTAGTTTTAGTAAACTATTGAAATTGTAACTAAGTCTTTTAATTATAAATTAAATTAGAGAAGTTTTTGTTTACATATTCCCTATTTGACATGTACTATCGTATATAAAGGGACTCGTATATTGCCTATACGACCCAATAATGCACATACAGTTATTTGAGTTTCTTTTTATACAGTAGTACTCGAACTTAATTCTTTTATTCAGTCGTAACAACAACTGTAAACTGCAAGCACTGATAATAGCACGCATGCTATTATCAGTACTTCATAACATACCGTACGACTCAGATTACTGAACATAGCCTAACTTTTATTCACAAATAAAAATAACTGTCTAGAACTTAATACTGGTTTGGTGTGAACTATTTACCTACAACTACAACTACCAACTACCGGGGTACCGTTAATGACGAGATAACCCCAACATCTTTTTGGTCCTTCGAGTCCTTCAACTTATTTATTTCGGATGAGTACTTAATGAGGGATTACTCAGTTACGTTAGCAAATTGATGCTATTGGTCTCCCAGAAGCGGGTCCCACCACTGGCATAGAGACGTTGCACATAACGTAAAGGAGGGGAAGCTACATTGAGTACGAACCGGTAACGAAGCAGCGGGGACTACGTCTCCTGCTACAACAGTACTGCAGAGATTACGTCTACTGCAATAAACCTGAAACAAAGAAACCAGCGGGTATTACGTCTACTGCTAGTTCAACACCCAAACCTATCCGAGCTTTTGTGAGTAAACAACTTCAATCACTACCAACTATCAACAATGTCGTAGGAAGACTAGGTACTACCAACCAACAACCAAGCAACAAAACAGCTATGAAAACATCAAAACTTTACAAATAACTACTCTTTAGAAAATCAATAGATTACCTTAATGAGCGTATCGAAGCTTTACAGTCCCTTTGGGATGAATTTCGAGCGAACCACGAAACCTTCAAGAAGTATGAGTCTACCAAGAAAGACTATGACTACTTCAAGCAGAACATTTTTGATATAGCCCGAAGCATGTTCGATGAAACTATGCAATCTATGTATGTTTATCAATTACGGATAAGTTAGTGAGCGAACCTGGGTTTTCGGGTATGTTAAAGCCGAAAACACCAGAAAATCAAGGAAAACCGCGTTTTGATATGCCAGGAATACAACAGGAAGAAGAAGAGGCGAATGAGCGCTTGTCGTCGCTATTACGTCTCCAAATGTGTAACTTTCACGTCTCAGCGAATGGTATCCAAAACTAAACAGGTGACAAAAAAGAGAAATGGCAACTTCAAGATCAACTAAAGACATTAGTATCCAAGTAGGAATCTGTCGACAAGATCCACTGGGAAATATTTTATTTACTGCAAGTGAACAACAAGGATTATGAAGCAAGATTCGATTATTGGGAGCAGGTTTACGACAGCCTAGAGGACGACTTCAATAGAAAATTATTTGAAACATCTCATTACGAAAATACAACACCTTGAATAGAGTTATCCGAGTAGTTTAACGAAACTTTAGAGATTTGTTTTTTGAAATGATCAATAATAACCCAAACGTTGAACAAAAAAATGAAGTTCCTTAAATCAAAATTAAGAACTGAAGCGGCAAAGTTAATTAAACATCTTCCTGTGAGTGCTGAGAACTAAGACTCATGCCTAGATATTATCCAGCATCGTTATGATAACAAATGATTACTATTCACATCATACATAAATATGCTTCTCAACCAATTGTCTATCGATAAACCGAGTTCATCTAACAGGGAAAAGCTGCACGATACAACGAAAGAGTGTTTAAACGCTCTAGAGAACATCGACATCGATATTCCTGTGTGGGATCCACTTATTGTACATTTACTGTCGTCAAAACTGGATGACGTCACTTACCTTTCTAGATTTCCAAAAGATCCTGATGTTAAAGAAAACATTTTTAATAAATTCCTTCATTTTACGGCTCAATAAACTCATTTTGTAGAGTTGCTTCAGAATCATATTTATTTGCAAAAATATATATGGTGTTACAATGGGTAGTAGAAGATACAAATATTTTTTACCAGAATAGTGGCATGCAAAAACATTAAATAAAATCAAAATATTTATGTCACTATTTGTTCAGTAATAGCTTATTATTTAAATTTTTTGTGCCTGTGAGTTTTAGTGTTTTTTTTTGTTTTTATTTATCAGAATGTTTTTAATTTTAATAATAATATTAACGCCATCTAGTTTCATAAGCAGAGCTTGCAATATGAAAGCTAGATTGACTTATAGAATACTTGTATAATTTTTTTGTAACATACATACATTATACAAAGAGAACACCCAAACTCGGAAACAAATATTTGTAGATTATACAAACATTTGGTCCGATCCGGGAATCGAACCCGGGACCTCAGCACAGCAGTCGCATAAACTACCACTGTGCCACCGAGGTAGTCTTGTTCTTGCAATTGTTTCATAAATGTACGCTGTGAATTGGAATAATAAAGTATGTTAGCTGTTCATTTCAATTAATAATAATATAATTTCGGACATCTGTCACCCAACGCCATCTAGTTTGAAACTAAGCCTCGAAGAATTTCGGTGTGCTGAACAGATCGAGGCAGTATTTTACTTCAGCCCGTCGCCTTCAACTCTATAAGGCGCAAGTCCGACCGCATATGGAATACTGTTCTCATCTCTATGGAGGGGCACCACAGTACCAGCTTCTCCCTCTGGACCGTATCCAAAGAACAGAGACTCGAATCGTCGATAGGCAAAAGATTTGCGACCGGCTCGATCCCGCTAAGAAAATCACATCAAATCTTTTCATTATCTCTTCATCCAACCCGGTAAAAGTTGCAGTTTTACTACGAAACTCGAAAAACTTTTTCAAAATAGTATTCTTCGTCCTTCGTCTTTGTGCAGAATTAACTCGGGCTTCATTTTTGTATATTGTAATAACTAATAGAAGCGATATCTGGCAAAAAATATGGCACTTGCAAATTATATGAAATCCGTAAGTCTATTAAAGCCGATTTTCAGCCGACCGTGCACCGTCTCGGGTACCAGTTGCCGGGAAACAAGGTAGGTATAGGAAGGAAATCCTTGGTAGGTACCTTGACGGACCCCAAGCCAATGCGCACGATGCACAGTAGCGTGTTCGACCTATTTAGAAGCCAAAAAGTCAAGTAATTAAGTAGGTAACAATCATGATTTCTAAACGTATAAGGATTTCAAAAATAAATTCAATAATCATGCACTACCATTTACCATGAATGATGGAATGATGAGGAATGAGCATTCAAAGCGGGAACGTAATGCGATTTGTGTGAAAAACTTCACTCGGTTGCATTTCTAGGTCTTCAATTTTTTTTTTACTTCTGAGTGTTTAATTGTTTCGAAAAAAATAGGAGAACATGTTGAAACTTCAAAGACTGAAAAAATTATGTAGGTAAGTAACCTACATAATTTTTTCAGTCTTTGAAGTTGTCGCATTTTTGTTTAATTTAAATCTAAAGAAGACATTTACAAAAAAAACGACTTGGGAATATGTTTTAGACAATCTAATTATGAGTATATCAAAGTACCCCTTTTAATTATACCTCTTGTTATACTCAGTAGTTGTACATTTCCAACGATTTGGCATTCTTATTTTTTTAGGAAGTATTTATTATGCACTACCATTATTTTTACCCTTAATTTTAATTATTTTAACCCTCTTAACCCTGATGGAGTTTCAGCTTCTAAGAAGAAGAAGAGCCGTAATGAGGAGATATTGTCGTTCATTTTAGCAAAGTTTGGTCTTGACATTGTTAACAGTACACTATTACAATCAATAAAGACCAAATTAATGCTGCCTTCTGTGAAAATGGAAATCAAATGGAAATCACCACATTATTAAATAAAAAAATATGTTATTAGCTCCGGTCCGGCTCCGGTCAAGCCGGCCCATATGTGCTGAAGAATATCGCCCACGGTAAAAATATTAAACCGATGTTTGTCAAAAGGATCATAATCATAAATGATTATGGTCCTTTTGATCAGATGAGTTAGTTTGTGTAAGTTTTAATAGCTTGCGTTAGTGACTCTGTTGAAAAGTTTCTGTTGTTACATACCTTGGTAAGGAATTGGTGACAGTCGTATATAAGCTTCGAAGTAATAATATTGTTTTGTAGGGCTTCTAGAACTAATTTTGGTGTCCGATTCGGATGGTTTTGGCTGTGATGGGGCCTGTGCACTCCACTTGTAACAGTGTTATGAGCATCTAACTTAAATAAAAATACACAAGAAGAGTGAGTAGGTTTATCAAAGAATCGTTAGTTAATGGCACTGTACCTATTTCAATATTTATCCTTATTTATTGCATTCAATATTTACGTCCCTATCTCTTAAGGAAGTGTGAGTTTTGAAAAAAATTGTATAAACTTCAAATTAAATTTGTAATTTATTTATTTATTTAGTATCCACACTTACTACTATCATTACAGGTTAGGACTATTATAGTTTTCGTTTTTTTTTTACACTAGCGTTGCCTATTGAATAATAATAATAAATTCACATATCTCACACACGGCCATCTGATCCCAAACTAAGAAGAACCTGTGCCATGATAACCAGACTGCTGAAAAATACACCCACTTAAATATTTGAACATACATACTTACTCGTATAAGAGATAAATTACACCCAGACACAGAACAAATGATCGTGTTCACCACATAATTATTTGTTCTGGGTGAAAAACGAATCCACGACCTCCGGCTTAACAGTCAGGGTCACTAACCACTAGACCAACAGGCCCGCCGGAATACTTTCATAGAGCTACCCAAATGTCTGACTGCGTAGGTAGCGAATCTTAAGGAATCGCGGATTACACACGACGCCATCTAGTCCCAAACTAAGCAGAGCTTGTACTATGGATACTAGACAACTAATATCAATACATATATACTTTTTTTTTGGAAATACATACATATTATACATAGAAACA